GAAAACATTCTCTCAGGCTTTCACAGAGAGCACATTGGCTAAGCAATGGCCGTGACTCATCCACATGGCTGACACTGACAAAGGATGTACAACGTAAGGTACAGGATCTCAGGATAAATCCTGAGGGGATTTCACTGACCTTATCAGACCCAAAAGCTACAACTCTTTAGCATAGGTCTTGCTTTATCTTGGTCTTAACCATCCAGCAGAAAAATATAAAAACCAAATATAAGAAGTAAAGCCATGCTGGTATGTTGAGCTGTACGGGACTCAGGTCAACCATTTCTGACTTTGCCAGTGAAGCGGAAGCCCCAATACTATTATGGACTACTGGACTCTTTTAGACTATATTGATGAGTTAATACACCTATAATATTCAAATAACAGAACTAAACAGGAAAACGGGATACAGATGAATGTCCATTTTGTATCTGTGTATTCAAAATGGTTAGGATAGATATATAGATGTCTTCTCTTAATGAATAGAGGGATTTGTTGTAATAGTGTTTGTAAATAGGATACCATGTCCGCATCTTGTACAGCAATTAACCACTAGGAAGAATGTATGCAATGTATTGAAACTGTTCTACCAATTTGGTTTGAAATTGTCTCATAGCTATTTGTTTGAAAAAAAGAAGTAAAGCCATAGTGTTATGTTGAGCTGTAGGGTACTCAGGTCAACAATTTCAGACATTGCCAGTCAAGCAGAAGACCTAATACTGTGACTCATTTAGAATATTTTGCTGAGTTCACACACCTATAATATTCAAATGACGGAACTAAACAAAAAAGATATAGATAAATGTCCATTTTGTATCTGTGTATTCAAAATGGTTAGATATATAGTTACATTCTCTTAATGAATAAAGGGATTTGTTCTAATACTGTTAATAAATAAGATATCATGTCTGCATCTTGTACAGCAAATAAGCACTAGGAAGAGAGTATGCAATGTATCAATTATTGAAACTGTTATACCAATTTGATTTGAAACTGTCTGATTGCTATATGTCTCTCAATAAAATTATGAAAAAAAGTTTTTTGCAATCATAGTCATAAAAGAGATATAGTTTTCTTATTTATACAATCTTTGTTTTGCTTTATTTATTTATTTATTTATTTATTTATTTATTTATTTATTTGGTGGAACCAAGGGGGCGGGGCTGGCTGGCATGCTTGCCAGGGAAGCATTTATTCCACTGAGCCATCTCCCTGGTCCTTTGTTTTGTTTTAGAATCTATACCTTCTTATTACTGAAGGAATGTTGAATTTTTCTAAGACTTAGACTAGTTTAGCATAGAATTATCTAAACTTAAAGTTTGGTTTGATTTCTGATAATAAATAAACAAATAAATAACAAAAAAGAAAAAGAATTAAAGTTGTGCTGTTATGTTGAGCTGTAGGGGACTCAGATCAACAACTTCTGACATTGCCAGTCA